ACAAACTAAAATTGGGATGTTTAATTTATTCATAGAATACTACTGACAAAACCCATAATGCCTTTTGAACAAACAGTCATCTACACTCATTTAGCTGTAAACAGCATGTGTTTTGTTCACAAAAAAGAACCGACTCATCAGAGCATATTGTTTGGAAATGGGACTTCCTTGTTCGCGATGTATGTGTTTGATTCACTAAAAAGAATCGGCTCATTCATTTACGAATCAAACTACTATGGCTGCGTTGCATGTTTTTGATTCGCTAAAAGAACCGGTTCACAAGATTCATTTGCTTTGCAATCCAAGTGGACTGATCACGGTGTTTGTTCGCTATTAAGATTGGGTTACAGTGTCGAATAAATAAACTTTGTCAGGGTATTTTAGTACGATATTGCATTTGCGAGAACCTGTAACAAAACCAAACGTCATTCTGTTCTGGTAATTCTTTAAATTAAATTGGCTGTGAATAAGCTCCCAATTCTATTTACTGCATATCACGCTTGACCAACATTTGGTAAGAAGTGTAAAGAGTGCAGTCTGTTTACAGATACAGATGTGTTCTTTTGTAAAACTACTCATAACCACAGTAAAAGCCACCATAATCTCCTGAAAATAAACTACTGCACTTTCAATCTGTAAAGATCTGAGATTTACAGGTCAGTACTTGCTGTAGTGTAATTTCCAGGTCAAACCTCTACAAGATCATTTTTAACCCCTTTTACACTGAGGGAGATTATCACTAAATCTGAAAGTTATGAAGGATTCAAAATGAAAGGTTTTGCTTCAGATTAGGTTAACACATTCAGTCAGTCTCTTTTTATTTGTCATTGTTCTTTCTTCCACAGAGGTCCCAACAACAGACCCCAAGAAGCCAGACTCCAATGTGACAATGTCCCCCAAGCAGAAGGAGGAACAGGCCCGTATGAGAGCCAAAAATCTGGCAAATGCAGTTCACTACATCTGGGAGACGGGTGAAGACAAATACATGCTGCGCTACTTTTACACTGGCTTCTGGTTGTCCTGTGAGAAACACAATGATGGTGCTGGTGAGGGCATATGCTTCTGTATACTTCCTTCTGATATCTATAAGCTTTTAATGATGATGTTAAGTGATATATTAAGCTACAACTCATCAAAATTCACTTTCTATTTTGCAGCTGTTTGGCTGAAGACTTCCATTGTTCTTTATATAATATTCAAATTCAATTTGGATCCAAAGAAAATGAGTAAAACACACAATTAACGCATAAAACAACTACTGTCATATGGCCAACTGTCAAAGCTGTTCTTAAAACTAATGTCCTGATTCGGTCTCTTTGAACATCTGTTTCCTGTTGTGGCCTTTCTTAACTCTTATTTAACTGCCATGGGGTCACCCCAGTTCTCAGCATCTGCTACAACAAGATAGTCTTACACAACTCAGAGGACATGGCTGCAAGTTTCTTAAGTCACATAATGCATGCACCTCACTGTTTTTAAAGCAAGATAGATGGATGGATGGATGGATGGATAGATAGATAGATAGATAGATAGATAGATGATTCGGAAACAAGAAACCGTTGACAGACTGTGCTTATTCTTCACAGGTGAGAAATGTCGGAGCTTCATTGAACTGACCCCTGGAGAAACACAAGGTGAGATGTTTGTGAGCTATACATAGAGAAATTGGCACGAAATAGCTCATTTCTGATTCTGTTGCATATAATGTAGGAGTTCTGTGGCTCTCAGTGATATCAGAGTTTGCATACATCAGCCTCCTGGCGATGGGTTTTCTTCTGATGTGGGTGGAATTGCTGCTCTTGTGTCTGAATAAGGACATGTATGCGCTCAAGATCAATGCTTTTGCTGCCATGTGCACCGTGCTGTCTGGTGAGTTTCTGAGAGCTTTGGGAAAAAATATGGTTCTTAATCAGTATGTAACAGAGACAAACAGGGAGAACAATACCTTTTCTATATTTCAGGTATGATGGGAATGGTGGCACATATGATGTATACAACAGTATTCCAGATGACTGTCAGCATTGGGCCCAAAGACTGGAGACCTCAGACGTGGGACTACGGCTGGTCATTTGCGTGAGTCTCCATCTTTCTCTAATCCATCTTTTTATTCTGCCTTTCTTCTACTCTACCCAACTCTAATGTTGTGCCTTTATTTTCTTTTCTCTAATACATAACTGCAAAATACTATAGGGTCCAAAAGTCTAGGACGACATTGAAATTAATTGGGATTCATTATATAATTACAACCTGCAAATAAACAGAAAATTTAGGATACATTTTAAAATAAAGAACCTTTCATAACTTCCATAATGTAGCTGAAAATTCAGCTTTCCCATCATAGGAATAAATGACATTTTAAAATACATTCAAATTGAAATCAGTTATTGTAAATTGTAGTAATATTTCACAATATTACTATTTTTACTGTATTTTTGATCAAATTAATGCAGCTTAGGTGAGAACAAGAGGTTTTTTTCAAAAACATTATCAAATCTTACCAACCCCAGATTTTTGAATGGTAGTGTCAGGTGATTGCAACAGAAGTCAAATAATAATAAGTCAAAAATTTGGAGATGGTTCTCACTGCAGAACACAAGATCCAGGGGGCGAGGTTGGATCCAGATCCAACTCCTCCCACCTTACATATACCTAAACCTACCCATCTCCACCCCCTGATCCCTAAACCCACCCATCTCCACCCCTAAACCTACCCATATCCACCCCTAAATCTACCATCTCCACCCATAGATATGGATCCAACCCCGCCCCCTGGATCTTTGTTCTGCAGTGAGGGGCTACTAAAAATTTGTGCTACTTCCACAGCATGGCATGGATCTCCTTCAGCTGTTGCA